GGAAGAGTTAGTAGATACAGAGATCCGTGCAAAGTCTGCACATAAAGTCAATTTTGATGATCAGATAGTAATGAATGAAGTCCCTCTTGATGAAGAAACACAGACTAAATTAAATTTATCTATTGCTTTAAATAAGATAGACAGTCTCGATTTGGATGAATTAAGCCCACAGGAGTGCATTAATGCTGAAAGAAAATTAGATTTTGAGACTGAGGATTTTGACAATTTTGATGATATGAACGAGATTTCGGCTGAAATACACAGATTTAAAAAAAAATCAAATGAATCTAAAATATTTGAACAGAATACTTTTGATTCTAATGCACATTCATTTAATGATACAACATTCTCTATATCTGATAAAGAATCATCGCCACGTGATGCAAAAGTCATATCACCTAAGAAAAAATTAAAACATCGAAATCAACATAAAAATGCGACAAATATACTTGTAAATATTTTACCTGCAACACCATTATTACAAACTAAAACAGAGACATCTATTATCTCTGATACAATTTCAAATACGACAGACATGGAAAATCATGATACAGAAATAAGAATACTTAGAAATAGAACTATCACAGCAAATAATACACCCAAAAACAATAGAACAAGCGAAATGGTAAGTTATAATGTTAATACTTTTTTAATGTTAATAATAATGTTCAATCTTTTTTTAATATTTGGAATATTTAATATTATACATAACTATAAATCAACATGCTTGCTAAAAAATATAATACTTAATAAGAATTTTTTTATACATCTATATATAGATGTTAATATATTTATATAATGTTTTAATTATGTAAGTAGAAACTAATCAATTAAAAAAATATTGTTTTAGATAACTCTAAGGAGAATTAGCAAAAAAGAAAATAAGAGCCCTGTTAAGCCAAGTAGAAAAAGTTCGTTAAAATTATCGCAAAAGAATGGAGATAATTACATGATACCAAATAAAGGCAATATAACAGAGATGGAACATATGATATTGACAGAGAATATTGATAAGAGAAGAAGATCATCTCGTAAAAGCGTTGCATTTAATGGTAAATTTGTTTGAATTTATATATTTATCAGAAATTATATACATGTATGACTTGATATATAATCATATTTTAATACAGAAGAAACATGTTTAGTGTGTGCTGAAAGCAAACCAGTGTTACCTATGACTCCTCATGCAAAACGAAATCGTAGCAAGACTCCCTCGAGACAAAGTCGAAGCAAACATGTGCTTAATGAGGATCTTATATCATGGGATACACCAAAACATCGTAAGTTTTAACAATATAACAAAAAGTAATGATTACCACATACAGTAAAATATTATATTAATTAAAATTCGTTTATTTCAGTTCCTAACAGAGTTACGAGATCTCAACCAAAAAATTAATGTTTTTTATTTCCATTTATACATATTTATTATATGTTGTATTTAATAAGTAAACTGACATAGCTAAAAATTTTACATATAATGACATTCATGTGTCAGCAAAATGTATGCATATAAAATAATGTACTATATAGTAGTCAATTCTGTTAGTCTACTTATTATAATTGAAAAATATTCATTATAAAAGATATTTCTTAACATTTTTATAATTTTACATCTGATATAATTTTATTATTAGAATGGCATTTATATGTCTGTGTTTTTGTAGAATTTTAGATATAGATATTTAGACATAACAATTGTAGGATTATTTCATTATAAAATTATTAAATAAAATAAAAAAATAATTATAAGGTATGAAAATTATTAACATTAAAAAAGCATTAACATTATAATTGATCATTTCGCTTGTTTTATTTGTTGGGCTAGCTACTTATGATACTATAAGTAACGAGATTTTTATAAAAATATAATTATATACAAAATATTTACAATTTTGTTTTTAACATGTGAATATTATCAGCATATAAATGAATGATCTAAAACTATTATTTTATTTAAGAAGCCCACCACAATTTTACACTATTATCTCTGTGCTTCTCAATACCATACTGTCTTTGTCCAGAACTAGTTGCTATGATTGGTAAACTTCTATGTAAGCTTGTTCCATTTATACAATCTTTAGACAACTTTATTTTATATTTTGGATTCAAATTTTCATAATTTGTAATTTCTGGTAATTCCCATACAATGATATTTCCATCAGTACCACCTATAAAATACATAATTTTAATGGAATATATTATAATCTTATTCTATATTTTTTGTGTCTACTAACTCACCAGAGATTATCTGTCTATTATCAGGAGTGGTAGCAAACTGTATTCTTTGATTAGTATCGGATTGTCTTCCTTCAAAAGAATAAAGAACAGTTCCAGGATTACGAAGATCCCAGCATAAAAATTCATTATTTTTTCGAACAACAGAGAACAATTTCATTCCACAAGAACTAAATTCAATTTGTGTTACACCACTTCCAGTTTTAAAGGTGCAGAGAGGTCCATCTTTGTATAGTCCTTCAAATATAAAAAAAAATATATTAAATACAATCAAAATACTTTAAGGATATCCTGTAATGAATAGCATTACTAAGTAGAAATGCATACCAATACATTTAGAATATGTGCCAAAGGCAATTAGACCTGGCATAATTGGATTTTCACGAATACATGAGACTAAACCAATCATATTTGGAAAATCATGTTTAAATTGAATGGTACTTGTTTGACGTCCAGGACGATCCGTATCGAAAGTTCTCACAGCATTTTTAAAACCACACCATATTTCTTTTCCTGAATTTATGAATTGAATACTGAGAGAAGCTTCTATCTCATCCACTCTGAAAAAAGATATGCTCTTACATTCAAATCTCAAATAAATATAAGTATTGATACTAACTGATTGTAAGGCTGATATGTTGCACGCAGTTCTCCTGTAAATGCATCCCATAAATGAACAGGGCTCTCTCTACTGGTACTGAGAAAACAAGACGTTATAGGCTCCCACGAGTTCATAAAGGGATACCAGCAAGCATCATATATAAGACCTCCTTCTTTAACAGTTAGAGCAGGCGTAAAATCAGTCTGTATAAAATCGGATGGAAATTGGCCAGAGTATAACTCTCTGGGAAGTTCATAAATACGTATCCTAAAATCTTCTGATGGTACAAGTAAGCATGTCCCATCTGGAGACCATTGGCAACCTTTTGTAAAATTTTCATATAGATTTGTAGGCTGATATTCTTTAGTAGCTGCACATAATAGCCTCGGTGCTATAGACCAGTTGTACTGGATACAGGTTGATTCTGCCAATTCAGTATCTTTTGAATTTATATTTTTTGGCTCTGTGATGTTTACAGTTTCACAATTTTCTATTTGTTCTGATATTGTAAGATTTGTTATTCTTTCCGAGAATAATGTTGTATCATGTGTTACCTATAATTTAACAGGATTATAATATAAATCTGAGAATTGATTACACAATTTGCTAGAAAATTATACTAGATAATTCATCATGCAGATATCCATACTTTGATAAAAAAAGTATTACTAAATTGAATGAACTTAAATTACTTAATTCACGAATAAAATATAATCTCTCTATTATATTAATATCTATGTTAAACTTACATGTGATGACTGAGGATAAATTTCATCTGAGGTTAAAGTTAGATTTGTTTGTTTGCTAGATTGCAAGCAAGTTTTACTATTAGTTAAATTACAAGATTCTTCAGTCTGTACGATTTCTGATTGTACTTGATTATCTTCCTTAGTTCTATTTTCTACATCATCTCGGACTGCATCACTTTTATTTAAAGTTTCACACTGCGTCGTTATCAATGCTAAACATGATTTTATTGCAATTTCGTCACGTTCCATTTCCATTTCCATTTCTCACTGGACGAGGAGAGATCCTTTTCTTCTACAATTTTCTATTTTTTTTTTCACTTAAGTAAAAATTTAAATACATGTAATTACGAGTGATACTTATTCATTTTCACTGCTAAATTACTTCTTGTATCACATACAATGTACAACGCGGTGGATTTCAAAGTCAACTGATAGCTTTAAAGGTAGGCCCATAGACATAGGACGCGTTCCACTTAAGGGCCACCGCACAAGCTTTTCCGTAAGTGCCGGTCTACAATAGGTGATTTAAGCTTTAAGCTTTAAGAAATTGACCAATCATAGTCAAGTATGAGGAGAATACTCGACTGTTATTAGTCAATCTCTTAAGGCTTAGGGCTTAAATCACCTATTGTAGACCGGCACTTAACGTAACGCGTTAAGCCCGAATCACACTAGCGGCTCGCGGCTGCGATTGCGATTGCCTCAGCCAATCGGAAAGCACCAATTGCAAGTATGATTGGAGCGTAGCTAATCACAATCACAAACGCAATCGCAATCGCAGCCGCAGCCGTGAGCCGCTAGTGTGATTCGGGCTTTAAGCTCGTATCAGACTACGCATTGAAGATTGAGATTAAAGATTCAAGATTGAAATTTGACCAATCAGAATAAAGAAATTTTAGTCCCTTTTGTTCTGATTAGTCAAATTCCAATCTTTAATCT